GCATTGTTCGTACAATTGGATCCTTTTGTCAGTTCTGTGATTTTTTTTCTTTAAATCTTATAAACGATCACAACATTTAATTGTGGACAAATTGAAAATAACAGTTATAAACAAGCCCTTGAAGGTGCAATTGAGGGACGCAAAAATGTCGTGGCATCTGGAGTACCATTCTCAAGGCCGGATGACTATTTCGCTGAAATGGTTAAATCAGATGTGCACATGTCCAGAATACGACAAAAATTGGTAAACGAAGAACAACGGATTAAGGCCAGTGAAGAAGCAAGGCGCCAGAGAGAGTTAAAGAAATTTGGTAAAAAAGTTCAAATTGAAAAAATTCAAGAACGACAGAAAAAAAAGAAAGAAGAATTGGAAAAAATTAAAGTCATGAAAAAAAGTGATGTATCTTTAATTCCTTTTAGACAGGTTTTTTCTATTATAATACTTGTTTAATATTCATCGTAATCTAAATATCAGAACGAAAGGGCGTCGAAGATACTGCCATAGATGATGATTTTGAAATCGCTCTAGAGCAGGCCGCAGCCGATGATAGACCAAAAAAGAGACAAAATACTGGGAAGAATGCAAAGCGTATCAGTAAGGTACTTATATAATCATTTATAACCCTTTTTACACGTTAAAGTTTTGACTTATCACCTGATTTATACAAAAGGATGCGAGGTATGGGTTTGGTGGGAAAAAACGCTATGCTAAATCAAACACGGCTGCTTCTTCCGCCGATATATCTCAATTTGATTCGAAGAAAAATAAAGGGTTTGGTGGTCGGAAGGTAAGTTTTCTCAAAGTTTTATACTTTTTTATTTGCTATTCAATAAATTATTGAACCATTAATTGTTATATTACTATAGGCATCAATAGCAAATCAAAAAAGAAAATCTACGAAGAAAAGACCAGGAAAAGCTAGACGTAAATCGGCGAGAAATAAAAAGTGATACAAAACTCAGCAAGTTGTTGCAAATATGGTTAATTCACTTGTTAGCCCATTTTTTATAAGTGTCTTTGTAGTGAAAACTTTTTTGAATTCTTTGTCAGACTTTAATCTTCTATGTAGGAAAAAAAACAATTTATGCTTGTAATATATTTCGATTTCTGGTTAGGTGATAATTTATTAACAAAA